ATAAGTTAGAAGCATTAGAATTGATATGAGGAACTAAAGATAGAAAAATCCATGGTTGTACAGTAAGGACAATAATAATTTTTATCCATTGTAATATGAGTAAAAGAAATCTTAACAGTGGGATATCCCATTACTAGGCAAGATACTAAAATTGTTTATGGAGACAAGGGACACCCTGCTCTTCTCTCCACACTTGTGGCAAGCCTGATTACTGAAGAAGAACAAGTGTTCAATAAATATTTCTGTTCTGTATTGGGAAAGAGGTAAGATAATGTACTTATATCATGGATGATGCAGTACAGGTTGGACCTCCCTTGTACAGCACCCTTGGGACCTGAGTGGTCCCGAACAATGGAGTTTGCTGGACGAGGGGAGGCCAAGGCTCCCTACCCGGCTGTAGGCTCTGGTTGCAGCTGGGGCTGTGCTTCCTGCTGCTGCTTCCAGCCCCACACCATGCTAGGCCTGACCAGGGCTGCGTCCCCCACTGTGCTAGCCCTGGACAGGGGCCGGCCCCGCTGCCTCCAGCCCTGGCAGGGGCTGGGCCACCCCTCTCCCGCACAGCCCTGGCCCCAGCTACACGCCCAGCTGACTCCAGCCCCAGCCAGGACTGCGCTCCTTCACCATGCCAACCCTGGCTGGGGCTGCTCTTCCCACTGTGCCAGCCCTGGTTGAGGATGTGCTCCCCACTACCTTACCCCCACCCGGGGCTGTGCTGCAGAATAGGGCACTGTATGCTGGCAAGCAAGGTGCTGAAGTTTTAGGGCTCCTAGTGGACCCCCACCCGGGGCTGTGCTGCAGAATAGGGCACTGTATGCTGGCAAGCAAGGTGCTGAAGATTTAGGGCTCCTAGTGGAGCTTTCAGGCTATGTCTACACTGCGTTTTTTCGGTGGAAGAGGATATGCAAATAGTGTGCTCATTTGCATATCATCCGATTCTTTTTGCAGAAGAGGTTTTGCTGCTAAAAAGCCCCATGTAGAAGTGGCCAGTTGTCAGAAAAAAACCTTTTTTCACAAAATCTCTTATTCCTCAAAAATCGAGGTATACAGGATTTTGGGAATCTCTTATTCCTCAAAAATCAAGGTTTACAGGATTTTGGGGAAAAGGTTTTTTTCCCCCACAAATGGCCACATCTACACGGGGCTTTTTAGTGGCAAAACCTCTTCCACAAAAAGAATCGCAAGATATGCAAATGAGCACGCTATTTGCATATCTTCTTCCGCAAAAAAACCACAGTGTAGACATAGCCTCAGTGTGATAGCTGTATCCACTCCAAATGGGAATAGTGAGGTGATTTTTGCCTCTGTATACAGCACAAGTGTACAGTTCTGGGGTCTGCATTTTAAAAAGGATGTTCAGTAACAGAGAGGGTGCAGAAGAGAATCACAAAAATTATTCAAGTGCTGGAAAAAGTGTTCTATAGTGAGCTCTTTAAGTGCTTCAGTCTGTTTACTTTAGCTAAAAGAAGACTGAAGTGACTTGATTACAGTATGTAAGTACCTTCACTCGGGGCAATAGTGGTTACTAAAGGGCTTGACTGAAGTGACTTGATTACAGTGTGTAAGTACCTTCACTGGGGGCAATAGTGGTTACTAAAGGGCTCTTAGATCAAGCAGAGAAAGGTAGGATAAGAACTCATGGCTTGAAGCTAAGGCCAGAAAAATTCAAATTAAAAATGGGACATGATATTTTTTATATATCATTAAGGGCAATTAGCTGTTGAAACAAAGAGAAGTGGTGGATTCTCCCTCTTATGATGTCATCTAATGCAGACTGGATGTCTTAGTGGAAGATATTCTTTAGCCAAGCAAATTACTAGCCTCAATAAACTGATAATCGACAAACTGTAATGGTGCTAGGTGGTCAATTAGATATCCCTTCAGGGCTTAAATCTGTGAATCTGTAGGTGTGGTTATTATTATTATTATTTATTTGTATTCACCTTTATTGATTCTCTCTTTTCAGGTGTCTATTTTGAGAAGGTATTAAAGAGTTCAGATACTTCCTTGTGGGTCAGGAACATTCAGATGTACTTGTCTGGAATTGTGGTGACTTTAGCTGGTGTTTACATGTCAGAAGGAGCTCAAGTCCTTGAGAGAGGATTTTTCTATGGCTACACATATTGTGTCGCGTTTGTCATTTGTAAGTATCTTTCCATTGCAGTGCCCTGTCATATTGCTTCCAGTCGACACATTTAAAACATTTGCATTCAGCCAAGACCAGGACTCCATTAGTGAATGAGTTTGGAGAGGAAACATTTAGATTTCTTTATAAAATCAACTATTTTTCAGCACAACCTTAAGAGTAGAACATTCATAGTAAGTCAAGTCATGGTCTTTGTGCTAGATGATAGCTAGACAATCTGTTTTGCTGTGCGTGGTTTTTAAAATGACAGGTTAGCAAAATCAGATCACGGTACTGACAGTCTATACACCTCTACAGCCCTAAACACATTACTGGAACATCAAGACTTTAATACTAAGAATGTCTTCTTTGCTTCCCAGTGCTTGCCAGTGTTGGTGGCCTCTACACATCGGTGGTTGTTAAATACACAGACAACATTATGAAAGGGTTTTCTGCAGCAGCAGCCATTATCCTTTCTACTGTTGCATCGGTGATGCTGTTCGGTTTACAGATCAGTAAGTTACTTTTGGCTCCTGTTTGAAGTGACCATATATCCTCATTTCATCCTCCTGAGTAGGCTGGGTACAGTGCAAGCTGTAATATCTTACAGCAGGGGTGGGCAAACTGTTTGGTCTGAGGGCCACATCGGGGTCAGAAATTTTATGGAGGGTCAGGTAAGGGAGGCTGACCCTCCCCAAATAGCCTGGCCTGGCCTCTGTCCTCATGCCCCCTGACTGCCCTCCATGCTCCATTCTCTGCCCCCTGCCTTCTATCTGCCCCCTGACTGTCTCCATACTCTCTGCCCCCCAATCCAATCCAATCCCCGTTCCCTGACTGCTTTGCTCAGAGCATTGGAGCAAGCCGCTGCAGCTGTCTCACCTGACTAGAGCTCACAACTGTACCATCTGGAGCATTGGGGTTAGTGACATGGCGAGTTGTTGCCTAGGTACTAGGGGTGCTGAGGCCATGTGGGTGGAGGAACAGATGGAGAAGGGGAGAGGCTGGGGATTCCTCAGGGTGGAAGCCTGTCACTTTTAAAACTAGACTAGACAAAACATTAGAAAATGCACTGGAGGGAATTTTCTGGAATGGCTGATCTAACTTCTGAGAGAGAACCTCAGTTTAGTAATAGTACTCAAAAGTCGGTATAGTTTGGAAAAGCAAAGGGTACTAACACTGTCCACAGAAGACAATTCCAGTTCTACCCAGCAGTCATTAAGGAAGAAAATATGGAACTGCAGGGTGCCTGTTTCAGACTTGCTTTTTTGACATTCACCATATGACTTACTGAAATGCTATGAAGTTTGCTGGGGCTGGTAGATGGTCAGTTTTCACTGTCAAAATAAAAGATTGTCTAAAAATTAATAGGATGACAACTCACATGTCCCTCCCATGAAAGTTTTATTTTATTTTTGTTTTGATTTGGAGCTGAGCGTTTAAATGTTGTTTTATTCCTTTCCAGCTGTCAGTTTTTCTCTTGGTACTCTCCTTGTATGTATTTCTATCTACCTTTATGGATTACCTCGACAAGACACAACAAAAATTCAGCCATCGTTAGAGACAGTGAATTTGAAAGAAAAACTTATTAATGTGTGATGTTTGCCTTAACAAAGGACAAGAGACTCCGCAAAGGAAAGACTTGTTTTGGTGGGTTTTTTTAAATTAGCCTTAATCTAGTTATGGACTTAACCTGGACAGACTAAAAGGAGAAGTTAATTCTGTAAGGAGTGAAGGGTTTTCATTGGATGCTACAGACTACATTATTGCCAAGCTCCTGAAGAAGATGGTTCATGTCGGACCATGAGGTGTCCACCTCCCAGGAGAGCAGAATGAAGGAATTGAATCTTCAGTTGTATATGAGAGACGTTTTCTCCAACTGTGTATTGTGCCATTGGTGGGCAGAAATGCTGAAAGGTATTTAGCTCTGTTAAAGTATATCTCATTGCCAAAGCTGGTCCTTGCACTAATTTGGCCCCTAAATACTGAAAATGTTGGTCTGATTATGCACATGTAAAATAGGTGTATTATCTTGAATACCAACTGGTTGCTGAGCTCTCATTCTTTTTATGAAAATTAAGTGTTGCTAATAGGATAAACATGAGCAAGAATGGACTGTTGAAAGGAAAAATCTACTATTATATCATCTATGCTGAGCATGCTTTAATCACTCAGTACAATAGTTGGTTTCAGCCATAGTGGAACAGAGTATGTTTTTTGTTAAGTAACTTTTAAAATGTGAAGATGTTTATATCTTTTATAAATCAATTGTAAAAGGTTACATTTTTATTAATAGTAATGTGTGAAACTAGCTCACTAATTAGAGGAGGGCACCAATAAGAATGTACATAAGTGTTCTCTTTACACCTGTATATATTGGTGTCAAGTCAGGGTGTGTGGTTTGAGACTGATGCATACTACTTATCTATGTTGTAAGTAGATTTGTGCCATCTCCCAGATTGAGCTATTCTGAGTGCATAGCAGAGCAATGCATGTAAAACACTGAAGTGTTTTAGAATGGTGACTGATACCTGTAAAGGGTCAACAAATGCTTTATAGAGCAAAATCACTGCTGCAGTTGATCCTGAACTCTTTGGAAGGCATAGCTCAATCCAGCCCACTTAGTAATGCATTAACAAAAAAAGATACACAACAATTAATGGCACTTCATAGAAAACCAATTTTGGTGCATTTGTTCAGGTTAGCTTTCATAACTAATTTAACTCTAGACCCAGCCATAGGTGATTAATGCTCTCAAACAGCTGCATTAAAAGTGAAATATCAGAGGCTTTAGTATGTCACTCCCTCTTACAAAATAATTGTTGACATTCCCTTCGCTGGTTGCTTTGAAAGAAACAGCTTTAACTGTAACCTCCATTGTCCCACCTTAGACATGCATCCTGAAACCTGATAAACTTCAAAAAGGGTATTAATTTGTGAGGTACGGGGCCTTTCTTTATTTTTTTCACTTTGACACTTTCCTATTTTTAAATTCTCTATGATAAAGAAAAAAGCCCATTAAACAAGGTGGCTACATCTACACTGGCGCGTTCTCACGCAAAAACTCTTCCAGAAGAGTGTCTACACTGGCATGTGCTTTTGCACAAAAGCATCCATGCCAGTGTAGATGCTCTCTTGTGCAAGAAAGCTCTGATGGCCATTTTAACCATAGGGCTTTCTTGTGCAAGAAATTCATGTTCCCTGTTTGCACTGACCTCTTCTGGAAGAGCTCTTGCACAAGAGGGCTTATTCCTGAGCGGGAGCGTCAGAGTTCTGGTGCAAGAAGCCCTGATTAGAATGTCAGTTTACTTGTGCAAGAACACGCAGCCACTGTAGACAGGCAGCAAGTTTTTGTGCAAGAGCGGCCACTTTTGCGCGAGATCGAGCCAGTGTAGACACAGCCAGTAAGTTTTAACTTAACTCTATAGAAGAAATAGCAAAACTGAATGTACACAAAGGACCTGACTTGGGTTGATTATGCACGGCAACTTAGAGCAGTCTTGGAACAGCCTCTGCAACTAGATCTTGCCACTGCTATTTGGGCAGACTAGGAAGACCCAGGTAGGGTTGTCCAAAGGATAGAAGCCAATATCCAGGCTCTGAGGTGGATCCACTGAGGCGGGTGGCATTGGAATCTTTCCTAAGCAGCTGCACAAGTGAACAGCTTAGAGAACATGGGCCTGGCCTGCAATAGTAGCATCTGGGTTGTGAATTAAAGTTGGTGGCAGTGACTGTGGCATGATGTTTACCTAATGCTAGTAGCATCTGGGTTGTGAATTAAAGTTGGTGGCAGTGATTGTGGCATGATAGGGGCAAAATACAGTCTGAGAGAGCTGGATCCAGCCTGTGGACACAGCAGAGAGCCTCCCGCAGACTGTCTACTTGCCCCACATCCCAACATGGCTCAAAGTGGTTGCTGCAGCTGTTTCTCATTATCAGCTGTGAGCCTGGAGGAATGGTGCTGCACATGCTCTTCTGCCCTCAGCACAATCCCATTGGCTGATTTCTGGCCAATGGCAACTGCCTGTTTGAAGACCAGGCAGCACACAAAACACCACTCCCTTCAGGCTCTTATTCACCACTGTATATGGCCCCTGCGGCCTATGCAGGGGTAGGGCAGCAGTGTTCCCTCTAAGCTGCTGCCATCCCTGCCCAGTCAGAGGCTCAGGGCTCCATGCATGGAGCACACTGACAGTGGGAGGCTGATTAATCACCTGTGGAGTTGTGCTTTCCTTCAACTGACAGTGGGAGGCTGATTAATCACCCGTGGAGTTGTGCTTTCCTTCGGCATAGAGGAAACACTGTGGGGTAGGCCAGGAACTTGCTTGAGAACCCTGTTGGCCAGGAGTCACCCAGGTAAGTCTCCTGCCCAGAGCCTGCTTCTGGCACCTCAGACCCACCCCCAAGTCCTCTGCCCCTCCACTTCTATCCTCATAAGCCAAACCTTCTGCCCCCTCTTGCACCCATACCCCCTGCCAGACCCTGCACCCCAATTCCCTACCCTAACCTACCCCCTCCTATAGCCTAGTCCCCTGACTCAGGCCACAATCCCCTTCTGCCATGTAAAAACCTAGGCAATGCTACACCCTAATGTAATTAGTTAGCTTGGTTATGAGAATGGAGGATAGAAAAGGCAATATTAGCTTCTTTGTTCCTCTTCATCATTGTCTGTGATATCAACACTGATTAAATTTAGTGACAAACTAGTGGTCCCATAAAACGAGACCTTTTTCCTATACCTCTTCCTTTTGAGGGTAACTTTACATGAGTCAGCCTTTCCTCCCCATTTATTTTAAGAAGAGCCATAAACTCTAATCTGGTAGGGGTGGAGGATATACTCAGAACTAGTGTTCCACATGATCAACGGCTTGGATTTTATCAGGGGGGACACACTCACACTCACGTAAGGCCTCTCTCCTTGTTAGTCATGAAATTGCGTGAGGGTAATATGTTAGGCTCCCTTCCCTTTCTGTATATCATTGTTTTATGACATCTGCTCCAAGGCTGCATATTGTGCACAGCGGGTTGTACCCTCAGATGTGGTACGCGTGCTGTTTCTTCATTTTAAAAAATCCCTCAAAACTTCAGCACCATCTTTTATATTGAAACCGGGGAGAAGCTTCTTAGAGGGTGAAAGAGTTTGGGAGTTGGTCCAAGCTATTTAGTGGAAGTAGGAAAGATCATCAAAAGCAATGTGAAATCCAGAACAGTCAGATACCAAACGCTGGTGCCTGTGTGAATTGAACTGCAGAAGCAGCAAACATATCCCAAGTACATTATTAGGCTTAGGTAAACTTACATTTAAATTACTAAACAAAGACTTCAAGTAAGTAATATCAAACTATGAAAACCTCCAGTCATCTGAAGAAGTGGGCTGTGGCCACAAAAGCTCATGATATCATCTACATATTTTGTTAGTCTGTACAGGATACGCTTAAAAAACAACAAATGGTCGGGTAGCACTTTAACTCGGCTACCCCCTGAAGTTTCTAAAGGGAGGATGTTTTTAGTGAGAGCAAGTGCAAGAGTAGGGACTCAAAATGCTCGTGGACAGGTGAGTGAAATATCTGTCACAAGACAAAAGCACCAAAATGCTCGTGGACAGGTGAGTGAAACATCTGTCAAGACAAAAGCATGCCCCTTCCAAAAAAAACCAAACCCCACCTACTATCTTGCATACCATCCACACTCGGATTCACTGGATATAAATGAGGACTAGGGACTTACAGAAGATGCCAAAAATGCCTTATGTAAATGTATCTCCATGATGACTAAGGTGTATGAAAAGAAAAGGGGAGACGTCTATCTGGTAACTGAAAGCTCTGATAAGTGCAGACAGAAAATTGAAGTACTAGGATTGTAAATCTCAAGTGTGGAGAGTTTTTGTTAAATTGTTATCCAGTTCAATGGTGCTTCTCTTCTGAAAAGGACAAATTCAAACGCTCCAAGATGATGTACCTGTGCAAACACATGACCATCCTGATACATAATGGATTACAGTCAATTTCAAATGGCTTGAAGCATTATGAAGGGTATAACACTGAGTGGCAGAGAAATAGGGAAATGGACAATAGGGTTCCATCCCACGGGAAGCTGTTAGTACACTGCCTTGCGCTTGATGCACAGAGGAACCCCAAAGAAGAGAATCTGCAGGACTGAAGTAACAATGAGTGTCATAAGTGTGGCTGAATTCTCATAAAAAACTTTTACTAAGAAGCTTAATTTACATTGCAGGAGGCTTTGTTGTTACATTTGGGTTACAGGCGTGATTCCAAGAAGTTTCATTCCATTAGCTAGAACTGAGCGTACAGCTTGGAAGAGGCAGAGTCTCGCCTGCAAAATAAAAATAACAATCAACTTATGCAGTCTCTGTATCTGAATAGCAGTTTATACTTACATGACCAAGGAGAAGAGCCTCAAGGAAAGGGCTAGATTAGAAGATAATACCGTGATGTTCTATCTGTCCCAGCCCCAGCTGTAGATCAAAGAAACCTCAAATACTTTTGATAGAGGTTTCTCCTCTACCTTCCCAAACATTGTAATTTATCATCTTATGATAATACTAAGTAAAGAAGTTTGATTTTTTTCTCAAACATAGTATTATCATAAGATGATAAATTACACAGTAAAGAAGTTTGATTTTTTTCCAGAGCACTAGTTCCTCCCTCCTGTACTGCTCCAGAATATTTAGTTTCTATCTGACAGCTCAATTTTTAAAAGTCATTTATTAAACCTAAATGTACGGGTGTGCGTGTGCCTACATTCATCATTCATATTTTAGAGTCATCCCAAGCCTCTTACCTCCAATGAAATGAGAGACAGAGTCAGATTAAAAGAGTTTGCTTGCATATTCTATTGATGTGGCTTAAAAAAAAAAAGCAGTAAACCCACATCTCAACTAGTGATTCTCAACTGCACACAATTAAAATGTTGGCAAGCCTTGAGCCTTGCATATTTTTTCATGACAATAAAGCATGTGGTTTTATAGGTATAGGTTGGTGAGATCAATATCAAACACTTCTTTGAAGGAACATCTCGCCTTTTAAAAGTTGCTGTTTTGTAAAGTGTCCCGAGAAGATGTGTGTGTCCTATGGCTTGTTGGATTTATTTTCAGGATAAATGGAGCAAGTTGCCAAAAGACAGACATGTCTTCTTTGGCCATGCCCTCTGGAATGACCACTTTAAGAAATATGACAATATTAAGTCACGGAGCTTATGTTAAGAAACAAAGGGAAGGACCTAACTTTTGCTGCTGTTCAGAATCAGGAATCTGACCACACTTCTATAAAAAAGTTACACTTCCTAAAAGGTGCCTTAAAGTCACTGGAGCTTTAAGCTCAACCCTGTGAAATATTTTCTTTATAATCTTTTCATGGTTATTTTTCACAACAGAATATTGCAAAGCTCAACCCTGAAGAGTCATTATCAAAGGTAGATCAGTAATTACTTTTCAGATCAGTCAGAGAGAACAAAAGATGGTGTAATTAGAGTAGCATTTACTCAATAGTTAAGGGATCAGATTTCTCCCCCAAAGATTCACAGCCTTCTAATTTGCATCTTCGACAGCATCTGTTGGTAGAAGAGCACTACAGACAATTTGTATTGTGTAGGTGGAGTTAGGGAGAGTTTCAGTCACTTCACATCTCTGTCCTTCCACTTACAGCTAAGGAAACCATCAGAAACTAACCAGAATGTTAAACACTCTCAGGAATATTAGGGAGAAGAAAATCAGATCAAAAGGAAACAAATGCTCTGAAGCAATTCCCGCTAACCGGTACTCAGAGTCACAGTGTTGAGCTCCAGAGGGCACCCATCACAGTCAGGGTGGGCTTGCAACCATGAGTTCCTGCTCCTCCCTTCAAAACAAGGCAATTCTGCAGCTCAGAACCAGCCTCCCTCCAGCTCTATAGTTAGTGCTTCCAAGAGCATCTGTTAGTTTCAATTGGGCGGAGAGTGAATATGTGTGTTCTTCTAAGCTCATAGACCAGGGGTGTCCAAACTTTTTTCAAAGAGGGCCAGATTTGATTAAGTGAACATGCGTGAGGGCCGACCATTTTGCCTGACATTCTTTGAACCATTAAAATTAAATGCAAATTAACTATTATATGCAACGTTTATTGCAAACGGCATACTTTTCATTTCGTCACATGGATGACCAATCTAAACAGGTGTTAAATCACTCTGCCTTTCATATCTGAAGGCCAGATGAAAAAAAAATCCAGGAAGCTGAAATATATGTCAGGAACATTGTAAAGTACATTACATATTATTGGTAATAAAGGTTGTCTGTCAACTTTTAAGTTAAAAAAATACGAACAGGAACATAACACCAAGTATACATGTTGTGTCCAAATATATTTATAACTGATTTAGACCAACTGACATTAACTGAGATTTTACGATGTATTCATCTCAATACATATGGATTCGTTGGGGGCCATAAAAGATAGATATTGCCAAATTACCTGTGGGGCCGTATTAAACCGGAACACGGGCCGCAATTGGCCCGCGGGCCGGACTTTGGACATGCCTGTCATAGACTATGCTTCTCTTAGAATGCCCAGTTCAGAAACACTGAATGATAGTCGCACAGCAACAATGCACAGTACCTGAGCTAGTTCAGGGGCACTGCCTTTCACAGGGAGTGTTTTATGAGCCGCAGCAGCAAGATGGCTGAAACAGAAAATGTCCATTAGAACCAACAGTTCCTTTAAGAAGGGCACTTATATGGGCTGTGGAAAGTAGTAGAGCTAGAAGATCCACCTCCCAACCACCAGACTCAGATCAACTTATAAAGGGCTTTGAGGGAAAAAAGGGTCTTTTTCAGGACTGGATTAGGAGTTTTATATCTCACAGCTGCCTGGTAAGAGAAGAAATGACTAGTTCTGCTGGCTGGTACAGATATGATTTCAGAAGTGCATATAAAGGCTTACTTTGGCTGAGGCACCATGCAGTTTCCAAGAGGACACTCCTGTGTCAGTGATTACAAATTTGATTTGAATGATCAAATTATCCTGCTTCAGTTAGTCTCCTTTGTTTCTCCCTCTCCCTTCCTCCAAGAGAAGAGCCTGGGCCACAACATTTAGATCTAGGTCCAGCGCTGTCCCATATGCAAAGGGATTCAGATTTGGGGGGTTAGTTCTATCCACAAGGGCCAGTTGTGGAGTTCAGATCCAGTAAGGAACTCCTGGAAGTTCTAGGTCTGCCTGTGCTGATGTTCCTGCAGTTTGAGTCTAGTGAAACAGATTTAAAGGTGTTCAGCGATAGCAATTAGTTCTTTCCTTACCTGAGTGTTAGCAGGTAGCTGACAATGTGCTTAGGCTGAAGATCTTCAGAGGATTTATACAGGACCTCATCATATCTGGGAAGGAGGTAAGAACAATTCAGAACTCAGCTTGCAATCACCAGAAAAACTGAAGTTCTTAAAACAAGAATAAAGAAGGTGACTGCAGCTGCTGGGAATGGCATCATCATAATACATAGAATCATAGGACTGGAAGGTACCTCGAGGGGTCATCGCGTCCAGCCCCCCACCCTCAAGGCAGGACCAAGCTCCGTCTACACCATCCCTGACAGATGTCTATCTAACCTGTTCTTAAATATCTCCAGAGAGGGAGATTCCACCACCTCCCTTGGCAATTTATTCCAATATTTGACCACCCTGACAGTTAGGAATTTTTTCCTAATGTCCAATCTAAACCTCCCCTGCTGCACTTTCAGCCCATTACTCCTTGTCCTGTCCTTAGAAACCAAGAGGAACAAATTTTCTCCTTCCTCCTTGTGACACCCTTTTAGATATTTGAAAACCGCTATCATGTCCCCCCTTGATCTTCTTTTTACCAAACTAAACAAGCCCAGTTCATGAAGCCTGGCTTCATAGGTCATGTTCTCTAAACCTTTAATCATTCTTGTCGCTCTTCTCTGTACCCTTTCCAATTTCTCCACATCTTTCTTGAAATGTGGCGCCCAGAACTGGACACAGTACTCCAGCTGAGGCCTAACTAGTGTAGAGTAGAGCGGCAGAATGACTTCACGCGTTTTGCTTACAACACACCTGTTGATACAACCTAGAATCATATTTGCTTTTTTTGCAACAGCATCACACTGTTGACTCATATTCAACTTGTGGTCCACTATGACCCCTAGATCCCTTTCTGCCATGCTCCTTCCTAGACAGTCGCTTCCCATCTTGTATGGATGGAACTGATTGTTCCTTCCTAAGTGGAGCACTTTGCATTTCTCTTTATTAAACTTCATTCTGTTTATCTCTCACCATTTCTCTAACTTGCTAAGGTCATTTTGAATTATGTCCCTATCCTCCAAAGAAGTTGCAACCCCACCCAGTTTGGTATCATCTGCAAATATACAGAAGTATATTTAATTTCAGAGCTCACAGCAAGTGATTAAGAGCATAGATGATAAAAGCAATGACTGCTCCTGGAATATTATCTTCTGTTTTCAGTCTTACAGATCATTATGATACTTAAATGACCACTTAAAGTATTGTCAGAAAGCAGTACCTTAAAGGATGTGGCCTTTAGGGTATATAGAATTTTTAATGGGACTGACATCTGCTGCTGCTACAGCCAGAATTCTGGGTGTAGGGGTCAGTTTCCCCTACGCTGGGCTAGATGGATCTTTGGTCTGATGCAGAATGGTTGTTCTTATATTAAGTGGAGTAAGTCAGATTCTGCCAGCAAGAAAATGTGCTGCCACATTTCTACCATCCCAAAAGATTAATTGGTCTACAATCATCATCATCGTCTATGTCACAGATTCTCCAATTTCCTTGCACCATGGCCTCTTTCTGACAACAAAAATTACCCACACGACCCCAGGAGTAAGGCTGTTAAATTTAGATTAATCAACTAATTGAACAGTTGATGCAAATTGCATCAACTATTTGATTGGTCAATAAGGGTACCTCCCTCCAAGGCTCTTGTACATTTCTACCGCAAAGCGCACGTGGGGAGTATGGGGCCAGAGAGGGGACTGCTTGAGTCCCCCGCTCGCCCCTGCTCCCGTGGCACTTCTGCTTTTGCTACATTTCAAAGGTGGAAGTGCTGCTAGATCCCTGCTGCGTCCCTGCCCCACCCCAACGGAGACGGTGCTGGGGGGAACTGGCTGTTAAGCTGACTCCCCACAGCACCAGCTCCTGCCACCCCCATGCTGTCTTTCTCTGATAGAGGCAGCAAGGAGTGGGGGGGAAGTGACTAGTCGATTAGTCCCTTACATCCCTACCCGAGAGGAGGGACCAAAGACAGAGCCTGCCCAAGGGGCACGTAACCTTAGCCTGGGCGGCAGGGCTTGGGCTTCAACTTCAGATGTGCTGGGGGCCGGGGCCAGGGCCAAGGCCAACATAAGCCTTGGTGACCCTACTGGGTTGCAACCAATATTCCCTCTAACCTATTCCATCCACATGCAGAATAAAATTTGTATGTGCACCTTCACAAGTGTGGTGCACCACACCAACAGAAACACATAACATAGCTGTGGACATTCTGCTAAGCAGTTGGTCAGCATTTGAATTTCTCCTGAGCGGCTCCCCAAGTGCACAGCTGACAGGGAACAATGGTTGCAAACTGCTTTGGGGTCCTAACCCACAGTTTGAGAATCCCTGATCTGGGTTAATGATCTACAGCACTGACTAGTTCAAAGGCCTCATGTTGTCGTTATATTGGCAAAGACCACAATCAAAGCAATGCAAGTGGACACAGGTAGCTAGAAAGGGATGGGGAACCTTTTTGGGGTTGAGGACCACTGACTCATAGAAAAACCACAAGTGAAAAGCGGAAAAAAACCCTCACTGAGGCTCCCAACTGAGAAGGAGAAAGACACTCCCCACATTCCCCTTGCACACTGGAGCCTAGGGGGGGCCCAGCCTAGTAGATTTTGAATGTTCCAGTCCCCAGAGGCGCAGCAGGGGACTTGAACACCAGCATAGGCTCCCCAATGCTGAGGAGGGGGCTGAGGCTCGGGGGTCGGATCTAGACAAGCTGAGGGCCGCATCTGGCCCCTAGGCCTGAGATTTCCCAGGCCAGAGTTAGAAGGCGACCTAGGCATGTGGGTGACATGGAAGAATTTCATAGGGCTTTTGTTCTTGACTGCTGGGTATCACAGAATCCTAGAACTGGAAGGAACCTCCAGAGGTCATCAAGTCCAGTCCCCGGCCTCACGGCAAGACCAAGCACCATCTAGATCATATGAAGAGAAGTAGCATGCTGTAGCGTTAGGACATTCAACTGGGAGTTCTGGGCTCTATATTCAGCTCTGCCATTCATTTCTGTGTGATGTTAGACAAGTCCTCACGCCTGTCTGTGCTTGAGATTCCACATCGATAACTAGGATTATAATGCTTGTTCAGTTTTGTCAGAAGGGTGAGAATCATCAGTGAAAAGCACAGTATACACACTATCGTCTGTGAATGTAGGTGCCCTTCATAGATCCTGGAAGTGAGTGGATATTCCATTCTCCTCCTCCTCCTGAGAGCATTCCCTCACCCCTTTTTCACAAGGGATCCAGAGACCCCAGGCACCATGTCTAGGTTGACAGTGCTTATATAGCTTGCTACATTTTCTAAAGAATTGTACCGACATTTACTCATTAACAACTATGGGTAACTACCAATTATTACCCATTTCCTCAGAGGTATTCTCTCCACATGATTTTAGAAGCTGCATGAAAAACATTAACATTCATTTACATCTCTCAGCAGGACGGTGAGCAAGCAGACTGGGGGCGCAGGTCTCGGCAGGGTGATGACTGAGGGGACTAGCGGTGTGGGATGATGGCAGGATAGTGTCTGAGTGCAGGGTCTTGGCAGGGTGTTCTAGCCTGCCCCCCTCAAACCAAAACCCTGTTCCCCCACCCCCTTCACTCAGAGCCCTGCTGAGCAGCAGGAAAAGCCGCCTTGGAGTATGTCCCTGTGCTGCTGTTCCCCCAGCTGGAGGAGGTGGAAGGGAAGTGGGAGCACACAGACAGCCTCAGGGCTTTTTCCCCCCCCTTGCCTCTGGAAGCCAACGCTGGCCCCTGCCACATGGGCTCTGCCCTGCCTCTTCAGCCCGCCAGCTGCCCCTCGCTCCTTGCCCCCATGCCTCAGGCCTGTCTATACATCCTCATGAGGAGGTCGCACAGCCAAAGGGGGGTGGCCGGACTGCAGGCAGGGGGGCTCCAAGAGGAAATCCGTGGCCCTGCCTCCCCAACCTTGCCAGCAGGTGGGAGGAACTATCCTCATGAGGAGGTCGCACAGCCAAAGGGGGGTGGCCGGACTGCAGGCAGGGGGGCTCCAAGAGGAAATCCGTGGCCCTGCCTCCCCAACCTTGCCAGCAGGTGACCTAAGCAAGGACAAGATTAGCTAGTGGGGGTGGTGCCTGTGGACACAGTGTCACATGATGACATCACTTTGTAATCCCGCAGGAAAAGTTTTTTTTTAATATATAGAGATTTCTACTCTTTCATT